TTTACCTGCTGTTCCTTCCCTCAGTGGTGTAAAATATTCACTCTGCCCTTTTTCTTATTGGCGCAGGTGAGCCTGAAAGGGCTCATACAAATTGCACTGGATTTTTGAATACCAGGGCACATGGTGGTGAAGGAAAGAATCAATAACCTGTTGCCCAGGCAGAGATGGGAGTGCTCCGGGGCCCCTTGGTCTTGCCTTGGGAGGGTTTGTCTAGAACAAATAAAGAAGCAGCAGTGTTCGCACTGCTGTGTGTGCAAAGCACCTTCACTGTACTGTCTCACAGTCCAAATTATACACGTTTTGACTTGACACTGTAATCAGCAGGCACGTGGTGAATTTTGATGATATTAAAAACATAAACAGAATTCAGGCAGAAATCCAGATGCAGCAGCACAAAACTAAGTAGAAATACACACATATTGCAGGTGTTAATATTAAACCTATCTATGGAGCGACCAATGGCTAATGTTCCCCCAACCCCCAACTTAGATCAGTGATCGTCACAAATGCAGGTTTGAGTAGCCCCAGTTTGACAGATGCCAAGATGTTCTTTGAGATTTGCACCTTTGTTTCTTCAGTTTTTCAAGAGATGTCTTATGTCAATTATTTTGTGCTTCATTTGGGCTTCACTCTTCCACACTGTGCCTTGTTAGAGGCGTTTGAGCTCTCTGGGCTGTGTTCTTCAGAATGGACAATCACAGTTGGATGGGGTTAGGAGAGGCTACCTCAAGCCCGTATTTGATGAGTGGTCTGTGACTCGGTGGGCAGGAAGCATGAGGCCAGCTGGTGAAGGGCCTTTGAGCACTGAGGGAAGGATGGAGCCACTGCTGTGTGGCCCAGGCTCTGGTCCTACGATGTGGGTAACCTTGGGCATCTCCCCTCACCGACCCCAGCTGCAGTGTCTTCATCTGTAAAATGAAGTGCTGGGCTACAAAGTCTCTGAAGGTTATTATAGCTGACTCTGAAGCATGCTGTGCCATGCAAAAGACCCTTTCCTCATCTACTACACTCTGGATCATTGGTGGTGCCCCCAGATAAAGCAGTTTGGAGCTGAGTTTCCAGAAGCTCCAAGACTTGTCGGGAAGCTGCCTCAGTCCTGGGCTGTAGGTGTCTTCAGTGCAGGGGCAGGAGGATGGCCACAACTGTAGGAACCAGGCAGCCATGTGTAGGTAGGGCCACTGCCCTCATTCTGCCTCTTGCAAGTCCCAGAGATGTGTCTAGTCATTGAACTGTGTGCATGGTGAATGAGGGAGGTGGAAAAACGAAATCAAACAAAAGCACACTATCATTCCCCCACCTTTTAAATTATAATTATATACATAAAAGTAAAGAGGATTTCTTGAGATCAGGAGTTCAAAACCAGCCTGAGCAAGAGCAAGACCCACGTCTCTACTAAAAACAGAAACAAATTAATTGGCCAACTAAAAATATATTTATAAAAAAATATTAGCCAGGCATGGTGGCGCATGCCTGTAGTCCCAGCTACTCAGAAGGCTGGGGCAGGAGGATGGCTTGAGCCCAGGAGTTTGAGGTTGCTGTGAGCTGGGCTGATGCCACGGCACTCACTCTAGTCTAGGCAACAGAGTGAGACTCTTTCAAAAAAAAAAAATGAAGAGAATTGTGTAATTAACATCCATGAGTCTATCTTCCAGTTTCAGCAATGATCAATCAGCTCATGGCCAAGCTTGTTTCTTCTTCTTCTTCTTCTTTTTTTTTTTTGAGACAGAGTCTTGTTCTGTTGCCCAGGCTAGAGTGAGTGCCGTGGCGTCAGCCTAGCTCACAGCAACCTCAAACTCCAGAGCTCAAGCAATCCTGCTGCCTCAGCCTCCTGAGTAGCTGGGACTACAGGCATGTACCACCATGCCCGGCTAATTTTTTCTCTATATATATTAGTTAGCCAATTAATTTCTTTCTATTTATAGTAGAGATGGGGGTCTCGCTCTTGCTCAGGCTAGTTTCGAACTCCTGACCTCGAGCAATCCGCCCGCCTCGGCCTCCCAGAGTGCTGGGATTACAGGCGTGAGCCACCGCGCCCGGCCTTCTCAGATTCTTCTTATACTTCTCCTTCTCTTTCCTTCTTCCCTCCCTTCCCTTCCTTTCCTCTCCCTTTCTCTTCCTTCCCTCCTTCCTCCCTTCTTCCCTTCCTTTCTTCCTTTTCTTTGTCCTTTTTTTGGCTTTCAATTAGTTTTTTTATAACAGTCTTATTGAGTTATGTCACATACCATACAATTCACCTATTTAAAGTGTATAATGTTTCCAGTTAATTTTTTTAATTGACACTAATTGTACATTTTTATGGTATACAACATAATGTTGTATACCATTTATGGTATACTCCATGATCATTGGAGCTAATTAAAATATTCTTTACCTCACATATTTGTCTTTTTTTTTTTGTGGTGGGAAATTTAAAATCTACTCTCTTGGTAATTTTCAAGTATGTAATACATTGTTATTAGCTATGGTCACCATGTAGCATAGGTCTCCTGTACTTGTAACTCCTGTCTAACTGAATTTTTGTATTCTTTGACCAATTCCACAGATTCTATTGAAGCAAATTCCAAATATCAAATCATTTCATCTGTAGCTATTTCAGTATGTACTTCTAAAAGATAAGGACTCTCCTTTTAAAATAGAAACACAATATCATCATCCCACCAAAAAGTAATTTCTTAACACCATCAAATACACAGTCAATCTTTGCATTTCCTTAATTTCCTATAATTTAGGAGCTTATTTATTTGAATTGTCCCATTAATGTTTAATAGGCCTTATCTATGAATGTTCCTGATCAAAACCCTTCCCCCTCCAGACATCCTGGTCCACTCAAAGTCCCTTTGGACATTTAATACATTTACATCTCTGTCCCACAGTCTAGGCAATATCACTCCACCCCCAACATCTGTCCCTTCTTTTCTATCTATTAAAATCTCTTGTAATTTCTAAGCTACATGCTGCTCATAAGAAGAAGCCCTAATCATCACTCTAACAGAGGGACAGACCTTTCCTTCCTCTGAAATTCTGGAGCATTTCATGTTTTGCTCAGTTTTTTCATTTATTGCCTGATATATTGGTTGTATTTCTATATAAACAAATTATTATTCCAATTTGATTCTAAGTTCTCTGAGTGTCATAATTTGTAGTTTTTTTTTTGTTTTTTTTAAATCTCTCCACAGCTATTAGCAAAGTATTTAGATACAACAGGTGTTGAAAGTATTCAGTGATTAATTTCCATTTGGGCAGGTCCAGGGACCAAGACTTTTACTGTGAGCAGCCATCAGCTTAGTCTCCTGTGCTCCTTTGTGACTATTCCAATCCCATTATGAAAATGATTTTTCCAGCCAAAAGGGTCATTAGGAAACTTGTGTAAGCTGGGCGAGAAGTTGTTTGGAAAAGGGTCTTCTCTAAAGAAAGCAATTTTGTGAGGCCAGACCAAGTGAAACAATGGACTTCCAGCCTGTGAGCAATGGACATGGGAGGGCTAAAGACAGACACCAATGTTGTCATAGTGACTGGATCATTTCCTGAGATGCAAGTCTATCTTTGCTGGTAAGAAGTTCAAGGAAATTCAGAAGGTGCATACATTAAATTCTAATGTGCAGCAGAAAATGAGAGATTGAGCATGTTTTCCATAATATAATATCAGAACCCACTGGGTTCCCCAAACACATTTCCTAAATAATGGCGATCTCAGTAATTATAGAAGGGCCAGAAACCAAAGGATCTTCTCTTTCACACAAACACACACACACGCACACACAACAAATGTGTTTGCCTGTGTTCTTGAGTTGGTAGTGATGGGTAGAAGTACCTAACATTTCAATTAAGGACCGGTGAGAGGGTGAGAGAGACAGAGACAGAGAGCACGTGCACATGCATGAGCAATATGGACATGTAATATTTAAGGGCAGCAACAGGCCCAGGGACTTTCTGCTTGGTCCTCACTGCTCTTTAGAGAGTTAGTCATGTGCCTTGAGGAACCAGTATTACCTCATCAAGCAGAAGTCATATCATTTTATTAGGGACCAATTAAAATAGAGGATAGTTCATCGATTTTCATCAGCATAGAATAGAATCAGCTTTGAACTTAATCATTTACATCTTATACAAATTATAAGATGCATTTTAAATACCCTTTGTTACCAGGGACAAGTGTTGCTATGCTTCCTCTGAAAAGCATTATCCCAGGGTCTGGCAAAAATCTTATGAAGATCACTCAGGATGGGATGAACTATAAATATTTAATGGCATTGTTTCTATAGTTTCTTGAAAACCAATTTTGAAGAGCCCTGGGGTGTTAACAGTGATTGAATTATGAAATAAACCATTTTTTTTTTTGTTGCTTGCAACAGAAAGGAAGTTCCTGGCTCTTTCAACAGGAATAAGGTAAACCTCTGAGGTCACATTTGACTACCTCACAAAAGGACTGTTGTGTTTGTACCTCTTATGTGCCAGAAGGAAGACGGAGAGAAAAGACAGATCTGATGATAAAATATGCCCTTGTACCAAATAAAAATATATTTAAAAAGACCTCGCATGAAGGGATGTTGGGAACAAAATGATCCAGCTTCTTTACAATGTTATTCAAATTTGTAGGTCAAGGTGAAATGGTTGTGGGCCAAGGCAGGTTTAAGATTGAATGGTATAAATAAGGCAATTAAAATCAGGAGGCTTTCAAATAGAATCTAATCAGCAAAATTCACAGGAGTCTTTAGAACTAATTATAATATATCTGTTAGAATAATTATCTGAAGTAGCAACCGATATCACAGTTATTTAAATATCAATTACCATCGCAGATTTTATAGCTATCAGTTAAAAGCTGCAGAATCAAACCAAATTTCCTGAAGCCAAACTTATAATCATTATAAAACTTGGAACTTTTACCATGCCCCAGAGCTTTATAAAATAAGAGACACAAGCCACTTGTCACTGTTGCTATGAGACAAATGTTTACATCACACATTTCTGTAGGAGGAAGGAAAATGATAGGTTCTTACCAAGTAATCATCAGGCTTGATACCAAAAAGTTCTCTGAAGTATCGGAATGCTAACGGAGCATATGTCTTAAATCTGAAGTCTGGGTAGTGATGGGCCGGGGTCAGATTGCTCCCTTCGCTGAAGTTAAAATATCGAAAAGAGAGAGAAGGAAAGAGAGAAAACATTAGCAAAGATAATTTCGACTTCAAATTCTAGCCCTATTAGTGCTGGGCCGATTTCACCTCTAGAGAAATCACTCCCCGACAGTGGGTCTCTCAAAGCTCATGTCCCAAAGGCCAATGGTCATCAGGTGAAAACAGAGGCTGACTTGGGGACGACCACTCCACACGGGCGGTGCCTGCCAATCACAGTCTCCTGCCTGCAAATTCTTCAGCCCCCTTCGTCTCTTTCCTGGGAAAATCACTCCAACTTCCCCAGAGAAACCACATTGTAATGTTTTAAGTAGTAAGACCCAGGACTTAGTGTGTGGAGCAAGTTCAAAATGCATTGTTTTTTTGACCTTGAACTTTGGATATTTGATAATCATTTTTAACTAGGAACAAGGAAAATAATTCTTAAAATATCCTACCAATACAAAGAACCATCACACTGGGTGGGACCTCAATCTGAACTCTTCGTATATTTTTATTTTCCAAAAAAGAGACTTTATTTAAAAAATTTTTAAACTTGATTTCCTTTCTCAAATATATCATTATCTTTTTTACCCCTTTTCTGGGTTCATTTTTGAATAATTTTATATGATATTTATGATATATAAAATAAATAAATAATCCAGTGAATACCCATGAACCCAAAATGCTGCTTAAAAAATAAAACATTATCCATATAGTTGAATTCCCTTCTGTATGTTTTGCTGATCATATTTAGAGATATTCAGTGGCCTGAATCTTGATATTTATTTATCAATCTCATCCTTTTTATTCTTTGATTCCAATACAATGTTATATTTTTACATGACCTCAGACAAAACACCTACTTATACTTAAATTTTTCAGTGTGAAAATTAGAACAATGCAATAGAATTTTATGGAAAGGTTCAAGATCTCTTTGTACTACACATTCTAGGTGGGACACGAGGGCCTATGCAAATTTGTCATGGTCTGTTTTTCATGAATATCCAACAAGACTGTGCAAATAAAAAAAGTAAGCACACAACAAATCACATACTTGGAATCTATTGCAATTTAACTTTGTTGAAGTCAGATTTTTGCATCATTGCCTGGCACATTGTAGATATATAATAAGTGTTTGTTGAGTGAAAGAATGAGTTTTCAAGATGATATTACTGTAGTAGAGTTGATTCTTATATGCTAATTATATAAAAAAATCGATACACAAGGCAAAAAAATTCAGCCCAGTTAAAAAAAAAATCACCTTTAAAAACTATTTAGAAAATACCAATTCAATATATCCAGTGCAGCCAGTTTTTCCTCCTGCATGGTTACAGATGACTGTTTCTTTTGGTGAGTACAGAGGGAAAGCTGGCTCATGTTGTTAGGGGACGTCATCAGATAATAAATGGCTATCTTTAAAGGCTAGGGTTATACTCAGGCAGCCGCAAGGCATACGCATGAGGGGAGTGACTCAGGAACTAAGGCTGATTGAGAGAAAAGCAGTCATATCTCTGTGTCAGGCTCATTGTACGGAATGGCCCCCAAACCACCTGCTCATTTAAATGGTGGTTGTTTTCCCTAAGCAAGTATAGTCGCATATTCAGAATGTATGTATGATGCCTCAGCATTGTATCCAAATATTTTCTCAGAATTTAGGAGGAGATATGCAGTTAGCTATAGGGAGACCATACCGTCCAAGGTTCAAGCTCCATCCCTGCTACTTACAAGCTGAGTTTCACTAGGCCCATTACTGAGCCTCTTAAAATAGAATGGCTAAGTGAACGGCCATGCGAATGGGGATGGCTGGCATCCAGAAAGTGCTCACTACATTTGGATGACTGAGACTGTAGGATGATGGGAAATGACCCAGAATTAAACATTTCACAAGAAGAATGAGTTGATCATGTAGTTTAAAGAAAAAAAAAAAGAGGAAAAATAAAATGTCAAAATGGGAAAATATGTGCAACTTGTATCATAGACAAAGGGCTAATCTCCCAGTATACAAAGCTCCAATAAACTACATAAAAGACCAAGAAATTAATTTTAAAGAATAGCCAAGGATATGATCAGGCACTTCACAGAAATGGAAATATGTATGACTCATAGATATGAAAAGATGCACAGCCTCATTCATAACAAAATAAATGTCACTGAAAGACCATAAGATTGGTTAGAATGTAAAATTTTGATGCAGCTCAAGGGAAACTGGCACCTTGAAACATTATTAGTGGGAATGTAAGTTGATACTTTTCCCATGGAGGACTTTTTCATAATGTCTATCAAAATGACAAACATATCTGACTCTTTGATCCAGCAAATACATGCCTTTGTGTTATCCTACAGATAAAGTAGCCTATGTACCAAACAACACATGTATACAGTTATTCATTATAGCAACCTAGAAGTCCTTTGGAAGAGGACTGGTCAAATTAATTACAATTCAGCTACACAATGGAATATTATGTAGCATGAGAAAAAAAGAATGAGGATGCTTATTATATATTGACATGGCAAGATCTCTAAGATAAATTAAGTGAAGCATGGTGCAAAATGCTGGGTATGACAAGCCACCACTTGTATAAAAAAAAATGTTCTTTTGATGTGCATATGCCTAAAAAAATCCTTAAAGGAAAAACAAGCCACTAGTAACAGTGATAATTTGAGCTGGCCAATGGGTAAAAAAGGCATAGGGACAAAAGGAACACTTTTTTACAGTATTCCTTTTAAAAACAGGACAAATCCTATTTTGTGAATGTCTTATCATTCACAAAATTAAATAATTTTTAAAAGTTAGTGGTTAAAAGCCATAAGTTTATCCCCCGTCCCCATGAGCTCTCTATGCTCAGCCCAACAGCAGGTTTGTTTACCTCTGCATATTTAAGCTGCTCCAATGAATAACAAACACCAGTTTGACATGAATGAAGCTCTAGTAGAGGAAATGCAAATTAATGAAATTGCTGGTCCCTGTCTTGGCTTGATATTTGTTAAGAGCTGCAGTGCACAAGAGCAGAATCAAACCGCAAGTCCAGCAAGGACCAGGCAGCAGACGCCAGCCTCAGTTTCCTGAGGCTGCAGGCTGCAGGGTGCCTGTGTGTGGACGTGGGTACCCACCCACAGTCTCCCAGGCACAGGTACCCAAAGTCTGGCAACTCCAACCATGGCAGGACTGCCAGCAGCTAAACACAGTGACCCCAATCCACATGAGTCTGCTAAAGTTCATGCAGGATTTCCTTGCCTGGAATTACCTGCCATGTAACTGTGCCCAGCATCTAGATTTAGCAAAAATGAAGTGTGAAGAGGAGCAGACTTCTTCACAGTTTAAGGTTTACCTTATGTTTCTTCAGTGCATTTATGTAGTGTGTGGGGGGGAAAATACCACTTTCTTGTCTTGGCATAAATTGAGGCTTAGAAAATTTCAGCTGTGGGGTTTGAGCAGAAATTTGGAAGCCAACATTGGGTTTTCCAAGTTTATTTTGGCAAGAACCTAAATAATTAAGCAAACACAAAGTACGACCCCTATCATGTCATAAAAAAATATTTTAATTCCAAAAAAGGAGCACAACGTTTCAAATAAAGAACAGTTCTTTCTCTATGTTGCTCTTTCCCCCTTTATTTCACCAAAAAGTAGTTAAAGTTTGATCATGGGCCAGCTCTGGCATTCTGGCAACTCGCCTTTTCTGAGTAGAGTTCATTTTTGAGGCCAAAGCTACTGTTTGCTGAAAATACATATATATTAATGGCAATTTGTGTTTAGAATTATAAAATGGTGAAGCTTAAGGAAGCATTAGCCATCCTCTGGAATTTTCCATTTAGCAGGTAAAAAAAATCAAAGTCCAGGGAGGGGCAGTAATGGTCCAAACTGGTCAAGAACAAACAAGATTGGGAGATTAGACTCACACGGGAACAGTGGAAAATCATAAGCAGATAGGTATGACTTAGACTTGACGTTATCCTGTCACTCTTCCTTTCCAGAAATATGCCAATACCTTCTCCTTGAGGCCCCTGCACCACAGGGCCAGGTGGGTAGGATTTCACTTATAGAAGCTTTGATTAGCTACATAAGTGGAGTTCTCATCTGTATGTACTATGAATGTCACAATTTTGTTTATGTGGTTTTAGAGTCTGATAACCAAGTACTGTTTTTGGTGGCATTGGACTGAGAAATTTGGTAACAAGCAATGGGGTAAAACTAATTTAACATCTCAAAGACACCTAAGGGGTCTAGTTTTGGAGCTGAAACTCAGAGCTTTGTTGTTCGCAGGGCAGCATTTTCTATTTGGTGAGCTTCCTTTGTTTCACACTGTAATCATTGGTAGTGGGCTTGGGGACTTTTGACAAAACTAGTAGGTCAACAACTCCTGGGTGCTAGCACTGGTTTCACTAAAGGATGCTAAATGCCCTCCCTTTCGTTCAACAAGCATGACCATACCCCCTGTGTGGGAGGATAAATGAAGGTGCTTTGTCCTAATGTACAGACACCACAGAGAAAAATTTAAGTGGCAATACAGTTGGACAAGTGACGCTATACTCCAGTAACAAACTACTGGTGACACCCAGTCTTTAAGCCGGACCTTTTTAAGTTAAGTGTCTGTAGAAGCAGCCTTAGGTATTATGAATTGCCTCTGCCAATTCAGGCAAGGTGGCTTAGTGTCTACACACAACTCTTTATGTAACTAGTGAAATATAAATTGATGCTCTTTCTTGCCAAATTAGATATTGTTCTTGAATATCACAAAACCAAGCAAAACAAAAGACACACTCCTTGCCGGTGCCAACCTCCCTTGCTGAGCACTTCTGTGATGGGTGCACGTGAGCTGCCTTGCATGATAGGAAGCTGCACCATCTTTTGAGGCCAACAAGCTGACAGCCAATCTTTAAAAGCCAGTATCTGAAGACTGCTTAAATTCCAAAACCAAACACAGTCATGCATTCTGGGGTGTCATTTACCGGGAACATGTGACATCATTGATTATCTAAAGGTTAAACCTCCTAAGAAATTATTAC